CCTAAGGCTTGACGGCATAGGTTTTTATTAGCAACTCGATTTCTTTTTGTTGCTCGCAGAACTGATTGAGGAAATAACAAGTATTAATATACTAAATATTAGCATAAATCATATTTAATTCTATATTTTCCATTTCGGCATGATGTATTTGGCAATATTTTTATTAATTTGTGATGGCATCTTTTTTTATACTGTTTACAAAAATTAGCTGTAATGAATTTTCAGTATAAATTGGCATCAAGATTCAAGATAGAATAAAATACAAAAGCACTAAAGCTATTATAAATTTTTTAAAAAAATTTTAGAAGGTGCCTTAGGCATCATGGATTGATATACAGTGTGATGCGCATATTTCAATTAAAATCCGTTGCCATAAGTAAAAACCTTATTGAGGATCACCAAAAATTAAACTTATTATTTGGCTGAGTGCCTTTATAAGTTCCAAGCATCCATAAGTATAAATTGTGTAAAGTGATATTAGAAATGTTACTATAATTGTTAATTTCTCTAATTTTAGCTCTAACCAAAAAAGAATTAGAACTTAAGGATAGAGCAAATGACCAACGTATAATATTTACTATAAAATTTTTATTTTATTTTTTTGAATAAATTTTATTTCTTTTAATATTTTATTTTGATATCATTTATAATGTATATAATTTTTAAATTGGAACAGTTTTGTAAATAATATATTTACAATAAAAAAATAATTTATATTTTTATTTTGATATAGTTTATATTGTATCTTATTTTATAGATTGGAATCGGTTTTAAATAGAAAAATTTATAGGATAATTTAATCATTCAATTTAAGCTTAGGTAAAAAATAAAAAATATATAATTTTATTAAAAAAATAAATATGTTTGTGGTATTTTTTATAGAATAAAATTTTAAAAAATTAAAATATGAACTTATTGGATATGATTCTAAAAAAAACTAATTTAAAAGAAATATATGTAATATAAGTCGAAATATAAACACGAAAGTTCGATTAAATAAATTAGTATTCTATAAGCGTAGAAAAATTTTGTATCTTGGATATATATTTTTATATGGGAAAAAAATGTGTTGGACAATATATATTTTAATATTTTAATCTTATTAAAATCTTAGAATATTTGGTAAAAATAATAACCCAAAAGCTTAAAAGTTTATTTAAATATAGGAAAACCAAAGATTTTTTACCAAAAATATTTGGACCATTACTCCTATCTATTAGCTAGAGAACAAGTTTTGTTTTATAAAATTCTTTAAAATCTCTATAATTAATTAAATATTTCATGAGAGCAACCGGCCAAAAAATATCTTTTTAAAACTATTCTAAATTAATACGCCATTAAATTCGGGTGTGATTTAAACTAAAGTTATATAATTAACTTAAAAATGATTTAAAAAAGAATAGATTAAAAATAAGAATGGGATGATAAATCATGGACTTAGAGAGAGGCATAGCATTAATTCAATTATAATAAAACAAGTCAATCTTAAACATTAAAATAAGGTAATCATTTTTTTCGGCGGCATCTCAATAATTAGAAAAATCATAGAATAATCTATATAAATGAGACAAGTAATTTTGTCAAATATTAACTCCTTCGAACAATTTTATGATGGTCTCATTTTATATTATTAGCGTAAAAAATTTTATATAGTAAGTTTATATAATAACTTTTTTAAAATTTATAATACTTCAAAATACAATAATGATTAATTCGTATTAAATTGTTATACGTGATGATTTAATTTTTCTAACATTTCACCAAACATAATATAAAATTTTGTATCTATTTTTTAAATAAGAGTTATAGAAAAAAAACTCATCGAAAAAAAGGAAACAAACATACTTGAATATATATTGTAAAATAAAAAAAAATGAGCTGATCTTTTTAAATTCCCTTTATATATCTATATTTTTTTGAATAAGGCATCTTTAATTTTATAACATAGGTGGAACTATGCAGACCTCAGACATTTTATAAAGGTTATTACTTAAATTCTTTTCGTATTATTGTCTGAATCTTTTAGTAGTTTAATATTTTTAGGTAAAGTATATATGTTCAAAATTATTTTTGATTTTGCTTTAGAGCTTAAGATCTGAAAATTAATTTTTAATGATAATGAATATAAAATATTTATGTCCTAATCTGATTTAAAAATCTATTTGAAATTTATATTGATGTCAAATATTTCTTTAAAAAAGAACGGCTTTGAACACAGGTCCAGAGATGTTTGATAGCTAAATATTAACTAACATTTGTATTTAGGCAATCAACAATATAAATAATGCATTATACAATCACAAAAACTCTTTAGAGTTACTCTAAAAGATAAAATTCACAATAGTTCATTTAAAATATAGTCTATATTTGTATAATAATAAACTTCATAAATAATTCATAAAGATAATTAATACATTATTATCCTTTAATCATTTAGGTATTGTAAAGAAAGAACTTTCTATATCTTGGTTAGAGATTAGTTTTAGTATACTACAATTATATGCGCTTATTTTGAAAGAAATATCTTAAATTAAAATATTTAAGTTATTCTTCTAATGCATACCATATAGTCTAGTAAATTTTGCTATATTTCTCATTATATCAGTCATTCTCTTCTCATTCCTAAAAATGGTTTGAGGGCATCTATGCCTTACTTTTTAATATCATTGTAAAAATTTATAAAATGCCTTTCTGAGCAAGGACAGACGCAATGAGTTGAAATTCCTAAATAAATTTTTTGTATTTTGAGACACCCCATATAAAGCTTGAGGTTAATAACATTTATCTAATTCATAAAAAAACATAAAAATATTATTAAAGCTATCATAATTTTCGTTTATTTATCTAAAAAAAAGATATAAAAATACAAAATATAGTTAACCATCAAATATAAAAACAACAAAAAATATATTAATTTATTAAATAAAAGTCGAGAGAGATACAAAGAATTTGTAATAAAAAGATATGGTTATTGTTTGTAATAAACGATAGATGAAAAAACGATTATTATTTTTAGAGCTTTTTACGAACATTAAAAAAAATAGGCAATTTTGAAATTTCTTTTTTATAGTAGGGTTAAAATTTTTTTTTAAAATAAGATAATTTCCATTTTAGAATAGTTATGAGCGATATATAGGATCATGTTTGATCAAGAAATCATCAAGATTCCTAATCCTATTATTTTTTAATGGAATAGCCAGAAACATGATCTTAAATATGAAACGTTTGAGGAATATGTATAATATTTCAAATTAACAAACATAAATGGAAAGGATAAAAATCAGCGAATAAATATACATTAAAGAATAAACAGCAGTTTCACCAAAATAGGCTAGAGGTAGACAGCAAAACCTTCATTAAACCACTAGGGTGGTTACGTTAAGTTAACATGAAAGTCTTGGTGAAATTTTTATAGCTACATACAATTTGTTCCAAATTTATCATCTGCAAAATATAAAAATTTTTCTTAATATAATGTTTTTTCATAGATAAAGAAGTTTATCCAATTATTTATGTAAAAGAAGGTTTAAGATTGTCATCAATAATGGTATTGGCAAAACCCTTCAAAAAAAATTATTTGGAAAAAATGTAGAAGAAAAAAAACGAATTTAATTTTATTGTTAATTAACAAAAAAAAAATTCTTTAATTTTAAAAAAAGATACATCAATGTTTTATTTGCCTCTTATAATCGATAAAAAATTAATTTTGTATTTTATTTTATTTTATTTTAAAGTTATATTATATATTTTGAAAATAATTTATAGTATTATAACGATATCTTTCTTAATAAAATAATAATTTATTCCTTGATTTTATGATAGTCGGATAGTCTGCATATTATAAAAAATGTTACTGTAAATTAGTTTGCGCGTAATTTCTAATTGTAGCTAATAGAACAAATAAATAATTGAATTTGGTGAGAGCATTTCTTATGAAAACTAATATCAAAATAAAAAAAGAGGGGAATACATTAAAATAAAAATACTACCATTATTTCAATTGGAGATAGAACTTTATTATCAAGTGGAGGTTGATAATTAGCCGGCGTAACAAGCTTTGTAGGCTCAGCGTATCGGGAGGCTAAAAAAAATATAATTTAAGATCATTCCAGAATTTAAAAAAAATATTGCAAAACTTTCAATTCAAAATGTTTAAATAAGATGTTTTTAATTGGAAGCGTTAATTAAAATGAGATGTCAGGCCCAAGCATTTCTAAGGCTTATTGAAAATGGTAGCTCAGCGAATTGCTACTGATTTAGATTCAATTAATGATTTAAAGTATTTACATATACCTAAATGTCTGATTTGTGTTCCATTAATTGATTCACTTGCTTGAATACCCAAAAGTTGAATATATTCTGTTAATTATATTTTTTTTAAAAAGGAGGAGGGCGTTGTGTAATCTCTAAAATTATCATACCAATAAAAAACTTAAAATTGTTGCATTTCCAATATCGATTTTTGGTCCATAAACTAAATAAAAAGTTTTTTTTTCAAAAAATAAAATAGAAAATAAAATACAACCATCATTGATGTATCATTGGGGCCAATTATCAGGCGATTCATATATTTTTTCGAAAATAAAATTTTGGACGAAGTGAGAGATTTCACAAATTAAATTTTTTAAATTATTTTTCGCGATTTAAAAATTTAAAAAATAAAATTGGTATGCAATATGAAAAATGATAAAATTAAAAAAATGGGAATTATCTTTTACTTTAAAAAAAAATATTCACCATCGTTTCATTATGGGGGAAATATTTCTGCAGATTTTTTTTAAAACTCAAATAAACGTTGCAAAACCTCTGCAACTTGTGATATACTAAATTTTCATAAAAAAAACAAAAAAAATACATGTTTAATATTAAAAAAATATATATGCACCTTTATGTCACAGACTTTATACATTTTTTGTATGTTTAAAGCTATTATTATCAGGTTATAATTTATAACGAAATAATCTTAATTTAATCTTGAAACCCCTTTTAATATCCTTCCTAAAGCATTTTTTTTCTGAAAAATGATTCGATTCCGAGGATTTAAACCACGAGCTAAACCTTTACCCCCATCTCAATTGCCTACAAGTTATGAAAAGCCAAAAACAAAATCCCAATTCGAAACGGACATTGGTGAAGCTAGACAAGGCAGAACTGCCCATCAGCCCACTGTAATTTTTTTAAACAAATATTATTTGTATTATAATAGTGATAGATGTAATAAATAATGGGAACCCATTTCCTTGATAAATTTTACTAAATATACGTATATTCCTATATACCGTATAGAGATGAATTATAGTGATTATACTTTAGAGATTAACCTCATAAAGTGTGGTTTATTAATTGTTATTTTGACACGTGTTTAATATATTGATAGATTAATATAAATAAGTTTTTTAAAGCATTCTATATATCAATATTGACATCATCCTTTGTAATTTATATTCGATTAACATCTCAATCTTCATTCTTCACTAATTAGTTTTTTAATATGCACTAAGTAGAAATTTTAAGAGAAAATTGTCATTATATATTAGACGTTTGACAATCCTTCCCAAAATATTTTAGAATATAAAAAAAACTGGTAACAAAATAAACACGTGTTATATGTCTGAAACTATATCTAGTATGCTTTTTTGGGAGGAAAATTATTAGGCCTAGGATAATAATATTAAACTAATTATACCACGAAAGATTTTAAGTGAAAATTTATAATAGATTTTTTGCATTTTCATATATAACATTTATTTGACTTGTTAATTAATGCCAATTCGCGAATTATAATAAATATTGTAAAAAGCTATACTAATTATAAGAAATTAGGTTTTGGATGCTTGATAATGCTTTTTAATATCTGATATTGTCTTATACGGTACACAATCTAGTATTTACCTGTAGTAAACTTGCTTTATAACATGTTAAACCTTGTAATAATAATAGTATTTAATTAGTCAGTAGTAGTTGAAAATTTGTTGTGATGTTCAAAAAGTTTTGCAGGGATAATAATATAATCACTGTCAGGAGATTTTCTGTTATTTTGAAGGTTTAATAATCTGATTTATATATGCCTCTAAGATCAAATTTGTAGAAATTTGAAGGTCTTGTAGGTCTAAAATATGATTGAAACCGAATTGATTTGGTGTTGTATTTAAAGATTTTTATAGGGCCTACTTTTCAAATAATTTTCAAGGAATAATGTTAGATTCTCTTTTTAAATATTTTCAATTAACGCCTAGGATAAAAATTCACCCAGACCTCTGTAATTTTTTATTTGAATGGTTTTTTGAGAATCCTTTTTTCTCTTTTTTAATTTAATTTCCAAAACATCTTTTTGGTCAAATATCTTAATTTGGTATATATTTAGATCTTGAAGATCTTTTCATGATACGATACGTTGCCAACTTGGTTTAGTAGGGGAGACCGTGGTAAAGCGATTACAGGGTAAAAAAAATTAAAGATAACTTCTTAACCATCTTGATGCAAAGATGCATTTTTATATCTAATTTCATGTATCTTCATTTGAAATATCTTTCTGGTTTGATATATTTTGCAAACGTTTTTACCCAAAAATTATAAAAGTAACCTTTATTATAATTTGTTTTAAGCAAAATATATTAATTATAATGATTTAAAAATTTGCATACATGTTTCTTAAAGTTTAAGCTATAAAATAAAATTTAATGAAAGTTCAGTGCTTTGCTAAAAGTTACTCAACAACATCTGTATAATATATATTACCTTGGGGTGAAGTCGATTAAAATTGCAAAAGGTAATTTTTAAATATTATCGTCTACACCACATAAAAAAATATTTTTATGCAAAAAAAGAACAGTAGTAAATAGTTTGTATGTTATTTGGGATAAAATTTAAAAAAATACTCGCATAAGGGAAGAATAATTAAAATGTACGATGTTCTTAAAATGGGCACATTCACAATGGGCTATTTTTGACAAATTCTTTTATATTCCCTCATTCTACTAATTAGTTTAAACTTAAAAGTGATGAATAGATGTCAAAATTGCAATATTTGTTCAATATAACAATAATGTTGTGTTCAATTTTATTTTCACTTTATTTGGTGCTTATTCATTTTATTTTCACTTTATTTTGGTGCTTATTCATTTTAACCTGTGTATGGGGTAAAATAACGAAAACGGCAAACACTTCAAATAATTAATCATAGTTCCTAAATTACCTTTTTTATTTTGAAGATGCGAGATTTGATTACATATATATCTAGAATTGTTCTGTTTTATTTTATTTCAAAATTTTATGGGAAAAATTTAAAATACCAATCGGTTTACCGCGTGTTCCCCTATTAGAGTATAGCTTTTTTGGGTAAGATGGTTTATACAAATTAAAAAAAATATATGCTTGGTCTTCCTGTCCTAGATTTATATTTTAATGTCATAAATTTATGTTATAAGCTTATATAGAATGATAAACCTTGTCAATCTTAACTGAATTATTAAGCCATTTAGCATTAATAAGATTGTGGTCTAATCGCGTTTTAGATTGCCCCCACTCATGAACATCCAACAATGAGGAAAACTTTAGTAATATGGAATTGATGGTCTTTAAGTAGAAGAAAAATCTATGACCAAATTCGTTGGTTCTATAATAAAATATGGTATTGCATAGAGAGACAAATAATATGAATCTGTTATAAAATCCCCTAGGGTGATCACGATATGAAGAGTATAAATACATAGTAAACATTTTTAATATACTAGATTTGACTACTTTTAGATAATAATGAAACGACTCTTCTATTAGATAGATAAAATATTTGGAACTCTTATCTTTTTCATGACGGTTAAATATCCAGATTTTTACAAATAAGAGATGAGAAAAGATTATTTATGACTTAAATAATTATAATTATGAAATTTTTTTATAATTTTCTGTAGTAAACAGTATTTGATTAGATAAATAATAGATTTTGCATAATAATATATAATTGGGCCAGAGAAGACATCTGTAATTATTTAAAAAATAACATATGCTTTAGAAAGTAGAATTTTTAACAATAATTATTTTGAGAAGATTTTATATGTTCCATTGGGATAAAGAATCCACAGGGATTCGGAAACTCTCAATTTTATATTTATTGAGGAATTTTAAAGTAAAATGTATTTTAGCAGCATATGCAGAGTAACTACTTTATGAATTTCAGTATATTAGTGCTATTATATTTTAAAATTTGTATGAAAATATATATAAAAATGAATAGAAGTTAAATGGGGTGGTGGGGGAGGGTACTTCATATTTACTGGAATATATTTCCGGTCAAATCAGATTTTCTAAATTTAAAAATTATCTTCAGTAAATTATTAAAAATTGGTGGATTCCATATTTCAATATGTCATATATATATTATTTTGTAAATGAATAAAAAATAACATTTTTCAAAGAGATTCCTTCTTAAGCAGTGTACATTTTTGATTTGAAAGCTTTAGCTCTTAATGCTAATACCAATATTTTGTCGAAAAGGTTTGCAAATACCAGACTAATCAGAAGACCCCCCCCCCCCCCCAGAGTTTATTCTTCTCCATCATCATTCACATTGGATCTTATTTATTTATAAATACAATACACTTGCTCTTAGATTGTTCTTTTTCCCCTCAGTCATGTTCCATTTTTTAGAAACTTTAAATGAACTAATATATAATTAAATTTTTTTTATTTTTTGAAAAGTGCAAAATCAAAATTATTTAAAAAAATAATATAGTAAGCTAAGGTAATAATCGGGCAAAGCCCTCAGAATAGATATTGAAGGACCGCCCAATTGCGTTGTGTTGTTAAGCGGCTCGATTTCGCAGAATATTATTTTAGCCAATATTACGCAACTCGAAATTTTTTAATAGTTGTCTAAACCTTTCTACCCTCTATGAGCAAAATCTCCAGACCTGCTTAATATTTTTTAGTTAAAATATTGGGCTAACAGTTTTTAAAAATAGAGCCGTTTAACAACACTAATATCTCGGTAAACTCCTAGCTAGGTCTCCGATAGGACATTTAAATTGCTTCCAGCCATGCAACTTAGCAGCCCATAAAAAAAGTAAGTGTTTTTGAAATGCATTTTAAGGTACAATAAGATATCCATGTGATTTGTTTATTGGCAAAGCAGGCATTACAGACATTGTTATTATATTTATGGAAAAATCTTTGTCTATTGATCTATCTATAATAATAGTGGTCACAATCATATGACAAAAAATTATTTTTGCATATTTACATATAGGTATTGGCCATTGCATAGAATTGTTATTGCAGTGTGGTGCGCACTCATAGTCAATAAAAAATTTTTTTGCGCTTCTCTTATAAATTGCTTCTTCTTTTTTAAGTATTTAACCAGACAAGAATTAATATTTCCTCTAAAAGTATATAAGTTCTAAAAAAAATTGTTGTTCTTAATCAATGATAATGTTATATATTTTATTAAATGTTAGAATATTAATAAATAAACAACAATCTAAAAAATCATGAATCATTTTTCGTAAATTTTTTTTAGTCAAACATGAAAACTGGAAATTATTAAGATATACACTTAAAAAATACCATTAAAGGTAGGCATCGTAGTTACTTCAATAAAAAATACTTCTAGTTGCGAAATATATTAAAAACAATAAAATATAATCTTTCTAAGGTGCAAAGTTTTTATTCTCAAATAGGATAATTGTTTATTATTATTAATAAAATAAAATACAAAATGATCATGACAGGAAAGTAATCGCTAATAAGATTGACATAAAACCATTTATATATATATTTTTTAATATAATAAAATTTGATACCTTGACTTAATCTAAAATGAAACCTAATTACTCGAAGAAAAATAATATATTACCATATATTTTCTAAAAAAACATAAGTATTTTATTATGAATGATTTAAAATTTAATGCCATTTCTAAAACTGAATAGCTTAAAACCAATATAAAGCAATTATTTTCATCCAAATATTGTATTATATTTAAAAGTATTTAACACATCTTAGTTTTAACTTTATTCATCAATCTTAGATTTGAATCTAAATTTTTTAACTGGATATTTTACCCGCAAACTTTTAGTGTCATTATTTTTAATAGGATTTGTAATTGACCAAGAAAATTTAATAGCTGAACTATCATTTTGTGCTGATTTTTTTTTTCATTTGTAGAATCAAT